GGGGGGGGACATGGAATGTCAGAGGGAAACTCCGAAACAGCCAAAAGTTGTGCTTTTGCGGTTGATATATTCTGGTCTACGAGAGAAAGGCAAACAGGTTAACGATAAGGAATTTTAAAGCTTGGTTTTACACTCTCAAAGTTTCTGTGATCACATTGGGAATTTTGCATAGGTAAATTCTAAGTTTTGAAGGATTTGTAAGAAATGTTTGAGGGAACTGACTTAGCATTTCACACTTAGGGCCTGTTTATACGGAATCCAGGCTGGCCCGCTTAGCGAGACAGCCCGGTAAGCGGGATGAATTTCTCTTGTGTTTATATGAGAAAATTTCATCCCGCTTGCTGGGACAATTTTCCTATTTTGACATTGTTTTGACAGGTAAAAATACCTTGCGGCGGTATCTTTGAACTTTCATCCCGGCAACCGGGCTAGACCGCTTGTGAGTTTATATGGAGAAATTTCCATCCCGGTAAGCGAGATCTCGCCTCTTTCAAGCGAGATCTCGGCATCGGGGCCAGCCTGCTTGTCCATATAAACGAACGATAACTTTTACTATAAAAATAACTACACAGCGAGATCTCGATCGCTTACTGGGCTGTCTCGCTTAGCGGGCCAGCCCGGCTTCCATATAAACAGGACCTAAGTCGTCAGTTCCCTCAAACATTTCTTACAAATCTTTCAAATCCAGTCTTAAGCAAGAACAGACTAAATGAGTATGGTCGGTAATCTACTGCTAAGGATATGATTGTACAAATCGTGGCTGTAATTTAGCCTGCGTAACGGCTCTTAGAGAAACTGTAATTCACAGATGGTCACGATCCGCGAATAGTGAAATGGTTTACGGATCGTCGATCTGGTTTACGGATCGTCGATCTGGTTTACATTAGGTTTTAACTAGACTATACCGTATAAAATAAGAACTGTATTTAACCATTATTATTTAAATAAGCTTATATACATGTGCAAACTTTGTACACTTCATGAACAACATTACAAGTGTCTTGCCAAAATCTCGTCCAGTAACCGTTCCAATTTTTCATTGGTTCCTTTCAAACCTGCTACGACTTTTCTTGACCAATCAAAATACTCCTGTACTCGTTGCTCAGTTCACTGGAGTCGCTTTTTCCAGGTCTCGAAAATTGTAAAGTTTGTCTGCCAGTTTCACTAACTTTGCTTTAGGACTGAAACAAAGAAGAGAAGTAATTACTAATCTAACTTTTTTGATACTGAAAACTATGGCCATGCAGCCGACAATTTCAGATAGTATAAAAAGATAAAAATTCCGAAGAATAGTGACTATAATGTCATCTTGAAATTGAGGATTTCAATTAAAGCTAGACGAGATTTTGAAACTGTATATTTTCGACTTCATTTCCAATTCATCTGCACCAGAGAGGAAGAAATACAATACTTTACATATACAGCAAACATATACAGAGCAAGAACGAGAGAACACGCGTCACAGGAAGGAAAGAATTGTCAACTAGACCCAGCTATTTACAATTAGACTAAATTAGTTATAGATAAATAAGTTATTTGATTATTCTATGTGAATATATATATTTACAAAATCATAGATTAGAAAAAGGTATCAATGAAATTAAGCATTGAAATTATCTATAAAATTATGAAAGTGAATCACTCTTATACGTTTGATCCCAACGCCTTTGTTCTATTCTATGCTTTCCCAAACTACAACAATAGTATCTAGGCATGTGAGTAATCATAGTTAATAGAGGAGATGGTTTGGAAACTCGTTAGCATTACAATAAAATCACAATAAACCTCATTATGTATGTTGTTCAGGTTTATGCAAAAATGTGGTCTTTCATCATCACGTGCGTATTGTATTTTTCTCAAGTCAACCAATAGGAATGTTCAAAATGTCCTATTGTTAAAGTCATGGATGGGCAATTGGACAAAACCGTTGCTATTGGTTGGTTGAGCAAAAATACAATACGCACGTGACGAGGAAAGACCACATTTTTTCATAAACCTGAACAAAAAATAGATAGTGAGGTTTATTGTAATGCTAATGATTTCCAAACCATCTCCTCGATTAACTATGGAGTAATCTAATGTTATGTCACCTTTGTTTTAGCCATGTTTTAAAAATACTTACTAAAAAATACTTACCTACGGTGATTAACATATACATATATATATATACTGTATATATATATATATATATATATATATATATATATATATATATATATATATATATATATATATATATATATATATATATATGTATGTATGTATGTATGTAAGTAAGAGTTATATATATATGTATGTAAATAAGAGTTATAAACCGACTTACTCGGTTTATAACTAACTTATATCACACTTGCGGAGGTTTTCCAACATATTTTGTCATTTTCAAAAAATTTTAATGAAAAATTCTCGCGTTTTGTCTACAAGTTTAATCCAATCATTTATTCAAGGTCTATAAGCTAGTTATAAACCTCGGACGAACAAAGAAAACCGACGCAAGTGTGATATAAA